ATAAAAGAATCTAGCTAAATATAAAAACTGTGAGAAAAGTAATTCTTGTATTGATTAACTAAATGCCAGTTACTCAGTTTTCCCTCATTAGAGCCAGAGACAGAATGTAGAAATAGAGCTAGGCTTCAGCTTCAGCTACATAAAATGCTGCTCGAGTTGCCAACAATGAAGATCTGCAAGTGGAATTTGGTTAATTGTGTCAGTCTGTAGGAACGCTTATTATTTGTTGGTACTACAATGGCTCCGAGAGTCCTGAGAGTTCTGCGACTGCCATCCCTTTGCGCAAGGTGCTGTCTGAACACAAAGCAAAGAGGTGGCTCTGGCTTGGAAGGATCTGAAATCTTTGAGGATATTGTTTAACTCATTTTTCTGCTAGAAAATCCTGCTTATGCATCCCTCCCCTCCCCCCAACATTCCTCCTCTCTTCCCCATCGTGCTGGCCTTGGATTGTGCCACTGCTGGTTTTTGTGCAGCCTCATGTTAAACTGAATCGGGAACCTGATTTCAATTAAAAAATAGTCCTCAGAAAAACATTTATTTTTAACCCAGACTAACACATACTCTGATCTATTCCTTGCTGCAGATGCACAAAGAATGCCACGAGAGACAAGGTCGCATAATGGCAGGAATGAATGGGAAAAGGGTGAGGAACAGGTTGCATCGATCTCACTGACTTAGAAGATGTGTTTGTCAAAGCGTGCCCTTAGCCTGGCAAGGCTGCAATTCAGCTGGTGTGAAAAAAAAACCACTGTTGTTAGTTTTGTTTAAATTAACACAAGCAAGTGGGCTATCAGTGTACAAAATAAGAGAACTTCAGGTGATACAGTAAAAGCTTTCAGAGTAGAGTTTGACATCATTGCCAAAAAGTCATCCTTCCCATTTCAGATTCAAAAATAACAACTCTTGAAAACGCACAAAGCAAATAACCTTTAAACTCTGTGTTTGCTTTTGCAGTGGCACAACTGGAAAATAATTTCATCTGCCTTTACAAAGAAAGCTGAGGAGGGTGTAAAACAAAGTAGAGACCATTTCCCTCCCACCACAGCCGTACATCTATTATCTGACTCACCACTTCTGGGATTCCTTCTGGCAGTGCTGGTTTTATTGCAATGAAAACTCAAGCGTGTGAAAAATATTCCCTATTTTCTGCGGACTGTTCTATTCTCTGTTCACTGTTTCGTTCAGGTCAGTATTCCTTCCTTTAAAGGTTTGGAACTAAAGATTCAGAAAGTGCTGTTCTTAAGCCTTGTGAGAAGGACTGGCACAGTGGAAAGGAAGGGGGAAGGGAGAAATGAAAGGGGAGGAGAGTCCATATCTGAAGAGAGACTCCAGACTAGAGAAATTTTACTGACATCCATTCAGTATCCAGCAGGGTCTCCTTCAAGGGCTTTTACTGAGATCCAAAGACTCTTGCAATTCACAGAGGCATTTACATGCAACATTGCCCTCTGGGAGCTAAGGTACAACTGTACTCCTGGATAATAATAACAAAGAATACTACCAGATTCCCATTGAAATGTCAACCAGGCACTACTGTTCTAGAGAGCAACAAAGAGATGCTAGTATAATTAATTATGAAGCCTCAGTACCCTCATTAACACTTCTTTAGTGCCCAGATCTTTGAAAATCAGCTGTATAAAGTAACTGTCAGAGTTAATTCCTTATAAATTGCCTCCTGTCACTGCAGTAAGCTCTCTCAGGTCTTGGTGATGCTGAGAAATCTGTTGTGTGGGATTCTTTTTTTTTCTTTTTTTTTTTTTTTAGTACTGATGCAGTCGTATTTGTTATTAAAAGTATAATATATATAGGTTGAATGAGCAGGAGTTTGTCAGGATAGGATAGAGCAAAATCAAAAAGCTTTTAGATAACCCAGATTCCATAGATCAGTAACATAAATAGAAAAGGTTTGAATTGCTTAAATGGGAAACTAAGGACAAAAGAAAAACAGGAACGGAAGGTGTGACATTTGGCATTAAGATGTTTCCAGACCTTTTTCAATGTGAGGATGGCAGCCAGTTTATAGCCTTCTCTCCTCCTACTGCCTTTACGACAGCATTTCAGCTCCAGGCCTCATTCCAATGCATCCTCTCTCCCCACCACTCCTGCTTATAAATATATATTTCAATAGGCTTAGGCTGCACGGAGTTCCAAACCCAGCATGTAATGGGTACAATTGTTTTCACGCTTTTCCACAGAGAGCCACATTCATGCCTTTTGGGGCTCTGCTTTGTCGTGTTCTTGCTCTTTTTTTTTCTTTAAGTTAGACCAGGATCAGAACCCTACATGAACACTAACAAAAAAGCTAAACAAACCATCTAGGTTTGTAGTTCATTCCATTACATCCCTGTACCATTCAGTCTCCTAAAGGATATAAAGAAGCAATCTTTTAAAGATAAGAAACCTGGTCATTAGAGATCACTTTGCATTTTTTGCAGCAGTAGAAACACCGAATGGTGACATGGCAAATTGTACACAACAGCCTGCTCAATCTTCTGTGTACTTCTGTATTTTCGAGGAGATTTTCTGAGTGCAAAATTGTGTGGAGTTACCTGTGTTTGTACAGTGTGCTCCAGGACCCTTTGGGCTCCTTGCTATGTGTGGAACAACAGACTAATCATAATGGAATATTCTTAATCACCATTTCAGAATTGGCTGTAGCACCAAGTGTAAGATGATTTTGCTGTTCCAACTAAACTGACTCCATGCAAACTCTTTAAATGGAGGTAAAATTTATGTTAACAAAAATAGTCCTTGCAAATGAGACTGTCCTTTCTACAGTTTTATTCTCCACTCTTAGATCACATATTGTCGTCTCAGTAAAGCTATAATGTATTGATCACTCAGTGTTTATATAAATCATATTTAATAAACAAAAGTACAAGGGATGCTCCAAAAGTAATGCCTCCTATTTTTATGATGTTGGCCCACAGGCAGATGTTGGTGGTATGGCAGTAGATGCTGAACCTTCTTTCTAATAACCCATTCCATTTTGTTGCCCTGTGACAGATGGCAGCAGAGTGGCAGTCTGACAGAACAGCATCTGACATGGAGGTGTGTTTGGAGTAAAGGTATAGAACTGAATTTCTCCGTGCAGAAAAAATGGCACCCACTGACATTCCTCAATGCTTGGTGAATGCAGATAGAGAACAACTCGGCATCAGCACACTGAGGGGTGGTTGGTGGGGTGGTGCATTTCAGCAGTGGTAACAGTGACACTGAGGGACCTCTGCTGATGCACTCTGTATGAACTTGGCATGCAGGCTCTTGCTCATCACTGGCAAAAACGCACAGCTAGTGGTGGTGACTATGTAGAAAGATGGTGTTTTGTAGCTGAGAATTTGCTTTATCAACTCGTGTAATTGTACTCTTTGTATCTGTTGTAGTTTCCATGGAGGCATAAGATAATAATTATTATATATATATAAAATATAAATAGGAGGCATTACTTTCAGAGCAACCTATGCTTGAAATTAAATATCCGGCTTTCTGAAGTGCATTCAAGAACTATCACACAAATTGTGCTTGCTTTACGTAAATATAAATTTGATAGACCTTAGTAGAATGTAACTATCTGTTTCAGAATGGCCTTTTAGAAACAGCTTATCTGCAAGGGATAGCCAATCCTCAGACAAATAATACCTATCTGCAGTGCTTTTTGAGATATTCAGGTGCTTTATATATACCAATTCAAATTTGAACAGCTGCTTGAGACACTGCAAACATAGTATGAGTTGTTAACTTGATACACAGAACAGATAAATCATATTTTGTCACATATGATGATACAGAATTAATTTAACGGATCTCAGTGTTTTCTTCCATGCTGTCAGCGCTGCAATGGGTCAGCTACCTTTTAAGGGAGGGATGCCAGATTGTACATTTATTTCTGAGATTAGATGGTGGGCATGCTGATATAAGCTCAGCAGGAATGAGGGGATGCTGTGTCTAAAAGGAGAGAGCTGCTGCCAATCACACTGCTGACAGTATCTTGCCTGTGTCCAAAGCAGAAGCTCCCGGCTGCCACCGTGCTCAGAGCACCACGACAGCCAGAAATTTGGATCCCGAGCCTTTCATGGATGCCTTTTGATATACCATGGCTCCCGGCCCCGTGCCAGCTCTTCCTTGCCTTTCAGAATCTGCTAGTACGGAGTATTCACACTCCTGTGGTGGCAGCTTGCTGCCACCTGCAACAAAGCAAGCTTTCCCTATGCTCCTTCCCATTTGTGTCATGTTGGGCTAAAGTCTGTTATTATTGATGTGGGAATAGCTATGGGATACGCAATACCTGCACTGTGAAAGAAATCCTAAATCATCAGGTTTAAAAGGGACCCCTCCCCCCAATTCTAATTCTACAGACCCTCGCAGATCTATGACTAATGGAGACGGATTATTTTTATAACATGTAATGCATGTATGTGCAACAGAACTTCAGAAAAGAGACAACATATTTCCTGCCAAAATTTCAAGTATGATTTTCAAAGCAAACGGGATTGCATTTGCAGAGGGAATTTGGGCAGAGGGAGGGGGAAAAACGAGGTCAGAAGTTGGAGAAAAATGTATAAGCCTATATGAACGAACCCAAAGAAGCAACGGCTGGAAGACTCACACAGCCTGAGGTTACACACTTGGAATCCACACAAGGACCTGAGCCCTCGTTAAGCTGCTGAACATCTGAATGCAGCACAGCTGTGGTCACCTGACCTTCCATCAGGTTTAGTGAATGTCTGAACACTTTTTTTTTTTTAACTCACAGATTTCTAACAAAAAAGAAATAAGATTTGTACATAAGTAATGCATCCACAAAGTATCTATCAGATACATTTGAAATAGTGCCCTAATTTAGGGTCTCAGGTCCTATTTTTCCTTCTGCCATACATTTTCAGCATGGTTTAACTTACAACACTTACACTTGAAACGCCCACTGTTTAAAAAACACCACCACCACCACCCAGCTCTGGTAGCTCACTACCTCAAGGGTAAGAGAAGATGTTTGTGATGTTTTTGGAGTACAGATGAGGAATATCACTGGTAGCACTGCAGATAAACAGATTTCAGCCAGTTCATTATGTACTGATCTTGCATTTGAACTCCACAGTCACCATCTACAGAAGCACAATAGGATGCAACTGTTGTTGAAAACATTACAGAAAGCGGTACACCAAGCTACTGGTGAACCTTAACGAGTGTCATTTCAAATAATGCTACAGATGTCAGGGCATTCCAGTCATTTTCCTTTTGGGTCATACCTGCTTATTTGTCTTCTTGCCTTCACGTTTCCACAGTCCTGATTGTTTCTCTCCAGTGATATTCCCATTTAATGCAAACCTCAGGGTCTCTGACTGACACTACCCTGTAGATCATAGAGCAAACAACCTCACTCTAAAGCAAATGACCTCAAGGCCTAGGTCTAAAATAATTGTATGGAAGTAACTGATCAGGTATTGTCTGTACCTGGATGCCAAGCAAGAAATACCAGCATAAAGCCTGTTTAACATCTATGCTGCATTCAGAGGCAATATAGGCAAGTACCCAGGCTTCAGCCAAATCAAACTTGGATGCTGTGCAATCCAGTAGTGAACAATTAGGGAAACAGAATTAGGGCTTGACGGACATATTGCCTGGGGAGAGAAGAGCTCTATGGAGTGGTTCTTTGGTGCCAGCCTTTGCTATTATTTTCGTTCTTTGGATTTTTTTTTTTTTTTTATACATGACAACACATAAGGAGTTACATTCTCTGTACAGAACCCATCCAGCAGCAAAAGGCAACGTTTTTCTCCTATTTTAAGCTTCTTGCTGCCAGTCTAAGTGCTAAAAGATCCTTCTCATGGCACTCTCTTCTTGTTTGAGCTACGTGTGTTGTTTTCTTCGTCCTCACTTGCGTCTGTTTGGGGTGGAGGGAATGGGGAAAAGGTAAAAGGGGAAGGCTCAACCGTCTCTCTATTTTGGGTCGTCTGCTGTTTCCGCTATCTGGAGCCTCAACAGAGCTCAATTGTTTCATTTATTGCATGCAGAGGGTGGCTCCTGCACCCACTAGTGGGTGAATTTGTACTGAGATGTAGCAGAAAATACTTGGTTTGCACAAAGTTACAGAAATTATGCAAGAAAGCATGCATGCTTTTTTTTTTTTTTCCTTGCTACTTTCTCCCCCAGCGTTTCTTCCCAGTTTTCACTTCAGCATCAGAAAAGAGGAATAAGAGAAGACCGATTTGCCTCATTACCCGAAAGTGACAACTCACTGATACTTTATCTCTTGCAACACAAAGAAGAGAAAGCACAGATCAGCGCTGTGTTAGTTCCAGCCACTTGAGAGAGCTTTCATAGCCCGGGGCAGGTAGGAACCTCCCCCCACATCCGTGCTTTCACCCTATTTCCAGCGCTGCGAGACCACATCAGAACAGCTACATGTCCGACACCGCCGGGCCAGAAGGAAAAAGCAAGATAAGATTCACTGAAATACCGTTCCACATTACAGCCCCGGCAAATCAGGCACTGCAATAAAGGAGAGAATTAACCCACACTCCGTTTAGCAGAGTCATCTTCCGGAGCTGTTTGCTTACATCTCGTCTTCAAAGCAGCGCAGCTGTCGTGGGGAAACGCGTACTGCCATCGCGGTCACTTCGGTGAGAGCACGTCGATGTGCTTTTGGTGTTCCGTGTATTTCACAAACAAACAACAACAAAAAAACCACGAAAAGCCACCACAACAAAACCGCGCCAACTTTTCTCCTCACAATCGCTGTGTCAGGGTTTGAAGTCACGGACCGCGCTTCACTCCTTCATCGGGACGCAGCCGTACATAACGATGTGCGCACATAACAGTGAGCTGGAACAGCCGATCTCCCACCACAGCCCGCACCTCACAGCAACCGCAGGGCGTCAGCGGGACCGAAGGGATCTCGTTATGGACGCCGTTATTTTAAGCCCTTACAACTCCTCACAGGAGGCCGGCGGTGCTGCCTGCCGTCCCACAGCAGCGCACAGCCCTGCCGCCCTCAACGGAAAAAGCTAACAACGTGAATCGAGCATAGCGTAGCTGAACGTTTATTTCATCAGTTAAGGAACGAGTTTCTGGCCGCCGCATCTCCACACGGGACAAAGCGCTGCTCCGGCGGCACGCAGCCGCTTCCCGCTCCGCTCCCGCGCGGCCCGGCTCCCTCAGCTACGGGCGGAGCCGCACGCTGCCGGTACCGCGGCTCCCTCAGAAGAACCCCTCAGAAGAACCCCTCAGAAGAACCCCTCAGAAGAACCCCTCAGAAGAACCCCTCAGAAGAACCCCCACGGCGAGGAACGGAGCCGGGCACCGGGCCTGGCGCGAGCCCCGCGCTCCTGCCTGAGGCCCGCCGCCATCTTAACTCCTGGCGCCCCCTCCCGCCCTGCACTCGTGCCCCCGGCAGCGCTGCGGGGCCCGGCGCGAGAGTGGCAACGGGGTGAAGGAAAAACCCTCGCTGCAAACGCCACGCCGGCCCTACCCCGCCGCAGCCCGCCCGCAGAACGCGGCGGAAGCGCCGGCCCTCGCCCCGCTCCGCCCACTGCCCCTCCGCGCCCTTCCCCAACATGGCGGCCGCGCGAGTCAGTTACCGCGCGTCGTGACGTCATCCCGCCGCGCCTCTCCGTCTCCACGGCAACCGGCGGGCGCGGAGCGGCGATTCTGGCGGCCGGGTTCCCCCCACCGGTTTCGCCGCCATGTTCGCGGACGAGACGGCGCCCGGCGCCGCGGTGCAGTCGCTGTGGAGGAGCGCCCGGAACGCGTGCTGCGAGGCGGTGAGAGATGGAGGCGGCTCCGGCCGCGCTCCGTGCTTTTATACCGCCGGGAGGGGGCTGGCCGGGGCGGCCGGGCGCTGTGCTGGGCGGTGGCGGCGGCTCCTTCCGCCCGCCTGCCCCGCGCTGACCGACAGCAGCTGTGAGGCCGTTCTGCAAAGAGGCCGGGACGTGCGCGGAACGCTGTGCTGCACGGCTCAGTGCACGGCTCAGTGCACTGCCCTGCACGGCTCAATGCACTGCACTGCACTTCCCAATGCACTGCCCTGCACAGCTCAATGCACAGCTCAGTGCACTGCCCTGCACAGCTCAATGCACAGCTCAGTGCACTGCACTGCGCAGCTCAATGCACTGCACAGCTCAATGCACTGCACTGCTCAATGCCCAACACTGCACAGCCCAGTGCCCAGCTCACTGCACTGCACAGCTCAATGCACTGCCCAGCACTTCACTGCACTGCTCACTGCCCAGCACAGCACTGCACAGCTCAATGCCTGGCCTGCCCTGTGCTCTGCCTTTACTGCGTGCCTGCAGGATGCTGGATCAGGGAGGAAGGCTCCGTGTGTGACTCCGGGTCTGTTCGGCTCACAGAGTCTGTCTTCTTTAACCAGAAAAGCTGCCAGACTGGGGAAGTTGCAGTGGCAGAGGTTGCAGTGCAGTCGCGGAGCAGCAGAGATGCCGCCGTGCAGACGGATCGGAGCGCTGTCCCAGACGTGCAGCAAGGAGCCTGTGTGGATGAGAGTGGTGTGCTGGCATTCCTCCGGAGGGTGGAGGAGGTCGTTATCAAAGAGCTGAACAAGAACGTGACAAGTCGTGCCTTCGATGGCTTTGATGTGAACTGGACGGATCAGAACAGAACAGTAAGCTGGCAGTGCTCAGATCCTTGCTGTTACCTGGGACAGCTGCTCACGGTGGCTGTGACTCCTTAGTTCTGTTCCTTACTGCCATGACTAACCTTGTTAGATTCTAATCACTAGAAATTAGCAGGGTTTGATGGATTTCCTGCAGCTCTCCCCTCTGCCCATGCCCTGCTCCTGCCCGCTGAAATAGTTCTTCCTGCTGGTGGCTGTGTTGCAGCAGCTTTATGAGAAGTAAGCTGCCAGCAGTGTTGCCGTATCCTCAGCATCCAGGAGCCCTTCAGAGCGTGTCAGGCTGGCAGTCCAGGAACAGCTGAAGTCAGCTATTTGGCAGCTCTTCTTATTTAGGTTTTATTTGTTCAGTGTATGGCGTTGGAGAATGGGAGCAGGCTGTATCTTGTCAGTACACGTTGGTGCACTCATTTCCAAACCGTTTCTTGTGAAGCTCAGTGGGTGCTGGGATGGTGCTGGAGGGCTGTGATAAACCCAGCAGTGCATCCCTGCTGCTCATCATGCAGCCCCTGAGCTGTGCAGTCCGAGGGTCATTATGAGAGGTTTGGTGGGATCACACCTTTTTTAAAATTCTATTTATTTTATTCTAGTAGGAATTCACCTTCTTTTTTCACATATGCCTATAAGGTACATTGATAGAGGGGAAGCCTGCAGTGAGGCCATGTGATTGCAGCCAGGCCATGTACAGATCTCAGGTCTTCGTGTTCAGAAACGACTGCTTCAGTGCTTGAATTTAATCTCTCCCAGGTGTTGTGTTTGCATGCATTGTCATACCCAGAGGCTCAGGATCAACACCTGCAGGTTACTGGTGTCTCATGGAATGCAACAGGATCTGTTGTAGCATGCTCGTATGGCCGGTGAGTATCCACATGGCTTTGGGAGCACACCTGATGTTCATGTGAGATTTTGGGCTGACTTCAGTTTTACATATGTTCACTTTCTCTGTAGTAATAAACTGCACAGAAATGAACCTTAGTTCTGTTAAAAAAAAAAAAAAAAAGCCACATTCAAAGAAAACAAAACTGAGGGCAGTCTTAAATTATGGCTTTTGTCTTCTACTTTTTTCCTTATAAAACAGACAGGCATACTTTTACAGAACCGTTTCCAAGTAGATTCTGTTTGAAAAAGAATTGCAAAGAGCAAGCACACTTGCAGACGTATGTGGGTGAGGTTTCAAGGCACATGCTTTGTTCATTGCAGATCATGTCGTTTTAAGGAGGTTTCTTTGCACCCTGGATGAACCTGGATGAACCTGGCACCCCTTCACGCCTGGTGCCATGGTGCTAACAAACATTCAAGACTCTCTGAAATGAGAGTGGGACAGTTCATCTAATGCAATGAACACCTGTAACAGCGTCTCCTTTCTCTGCCTTTACGTTGCCCTTACTCAATTTGCTTTCTGTTATGGTTTCCTTGGATTAAAAGCCCTAACAAAAAGTGCATCCAGCAGTAAATGTACAGGGAGAAGTAAAACCGGGCCAACCTGTACATCCCTTTCCCCTTCTGCTCTCCCAGTTCACAGCTATTTTCAGATCAGAATGTGGTTTCTAGGCCTGTGGTTACCTTCAGTAGAATTCCCTTCTGTGAACTTACGCAGTCTGTCTTAAACTTTTAGCCTCTACCACCTCCTTTAATAAGGAGTTTCACAGCTCAGCTACGCGCTATGAAAACGTCCTCCTTTTGTTTGCTCAGTATCTCTTTCAATAATTAAGAACATCAGGGAAAGGCAGAAGTCAGGCTCAAACAATTGCTTCCTGTCCTGGCCCCTCTCTGTTCTGCCCTCAGCCATCACCACTTGTAGTGAGGTTGGGCAGTGTGGTGCTGAGGATGGAACACATGGAGGTACTGTGACAAGGCATTTCTCATCATTACCCTCATGTGCCTGAACAGCTCCTCACACATATCACCTCAAAGTACCTTCCTTGTAGAAACCTTTACCTTCAGAATATGTGCTGGTTGCTGGGGGTAAGCATGCAGGTGTTTTGGTATGTCTGCTGTGGGCAGGTGGCTTGCAGCAGTCAGCATTTTGGGGGTGTTGTTCTCCTGTCTACAGGGGTTACAGCTTGGTAAGCATGCAGTGATAGAGTCAGAAGGAAGTAACAAAGAAAGCAGAGGGACAACCGTCTTTTCTCAGACCCTGGTTCTTCAGGTCCTTGTCTGGGGAAACCTGCCTTGCAGATCTGGCTGTTTGCAAATCAGCAGCAGTGTGGTCTGTTGGGTTTTCATTCTCAGCTATTCATAGGAACTTTCTGCAGGTGCTCTTATGACTCTTCCCAGCATTTGGATGGTTAATAGACCTGGAAAAAGGGAATGGTGTATGAGATTTCCTGGCAGGCATTTTGTTCAGTCGCTGCACTGAAACATTCTGTGTGTGTACCAACATGCAGAGAAGTTCTGTCACTTCACAATCCCTTGATTTCAGTTTTCCTTCTGGCCATGAAGCAGCACATGTATAAACGATGACTGGGACGTAGCAGAGCTCTGCACGAGCTGGGATTGTCACGTATCAGGCACAGTATGGTGTAGCTTTGTCTTCATCAGGTTGAATGATGGGGACTGGAGCACAGAGAAATCCTATGTCTGTACCTGGAATCTGGATAGAAGAAGGTTGGATCCACAACGTCCCGACCTTGTGGTGGATGCTCCCAGTTCTGTCATGTGCTTGGCCTTCCATCCCTCCCAGCCTTCACTGATAGCTGGTAGGTTAGATCTTATTTGAAATGTACCCCTAGTTCTTTAGCTTGGATCATTTTTCTCTCACCTCAGCTTGAGATTTCTTCCTAAAGTAATGGTATTGCAGCTCCACAACTGAAGGAAGTAATGCTCACCAAGACTGAGTGCACTGTTGGTTCTGAACTAGAAATTGATACTTACATTTTTCAATGGCATCTGCCTTTCTAACAGAGAGAGATCTCAGGGAGGTGACAGAGGCAAATCCAGCCCTAGTTATGAGCAGGAAGTGTGTGCTACTTCAGCAAAGATGTGTTCTGTTAAACCAGAGCTGAAGGTGCCCTCAGTGTGGCTGCCAGTCCTCTGAAGCTGTTGGTCCATTTCCACCAGAACTTTATGCATGTGCCCCTCTTCTTCCTTGAGGACTGCTCTTCTCAGGGCTCTGCTCATACATGATAGCAATGAGAGCAGTCACAGTAACAAAGTGCCCATTGTACTGTTCAGTGTGTGCACCTTAAAGTGTCATTGTTACCTCTTCTCTTGCAGCCGGTCTGTTCAGTGGGGAAACGGTGGTGTGGGACACCAGCAAACCAGAAGACCCCTTGATCTGGCGGACAGGGATGACAGATGACACTCACACTGATCCAGTCTATCAGGTGAGAGCTTGCACAGTAAACACAGCTGGGGGAGAAGAGAGTTATCAGTGCTGGATTTTATCCCTTCAATTTTATCCCTCGTTAGCACTTCACCTGAAGCTCTCAGATGAACTGCTTCATTTCAGCTGTTGTGCTCTCCTTTCATTTACCATTTTTCCCCAGAACTAATACAGAACTGCCATGTGCTGAACTGGATGCTTTCCCTGTAAAACAACTTCTTGTTCAGGATGAATGAGCAGAGCTGTTCCTATGCTGCAGTGGTTTACTCATGCAGATTAGGCCAACAATTAAGTAGTAAAGTATCACTGATCCTTAGGTGGAAGCTTAAAGTTACATGAAGGGGCACAATCTGTCAGTGCCCTTTGGCTTCCTATGTTTTTTTTTTGTTGTTGTTCCTCTGAGGCACTGTGACTTTGGGCAGTCTGTGTATTTTCTCATCTGAAAGTTAGGAAAATGCTTTTATTTACAACAGAGTGGAAGTGCTATAAATAACAGAGCTCAAAAATAACCGCAGGCAAAAACCTGAAAACCAGAATTCAGCCCTGAACACCTAAGCTTATTTGTCTCCTAGCACAACTATGTCTGTGTGCCTGCTGCTCATCTGGTCTGGCAGGATAAGGGCCTGCAGGCTGCTGAGCATGTGGGCAGCAGTGCTGACAGCCCCCTCACCCAGAGCTTGGCTCCTTTGCTTCAGGTTCACTGGCTGCCCGATGCCAAGCATGGAAACCACGTCCAGCTGCTGAGCGCATCGACGGACGGTAAGATCCTGGTGTGGAGGGAGGAGCGAGATGGGCGGCTGATGGTGGCTGAAGGATTCGCCCTGGTGGCTCAGCAGATCCCTCGCAGTGCTCAGCTGAAGAAGGTGAGTTCATGAGTTTGGCCAACAGCTGTGCTCTGGCTCTAGAAACCGGACAGCAGGCCAAGCCTGGCACAGGAGAAGGACCAGGAAAAGCTCCTTTTTGAACATAAAGAGTAACCCCTGATCCCATCTCCCTCCTATAGTGAAAATCATTCCTTCAGAGGCTGGCAGCAGCCGAGGTTTTGCCATGGTCTAAAGTTGCTGGGACCAAGAAGAGAACTTGCTTACAGCACTAGCAATTCACACTGTAGGTGGATGCTGCAGGGGTTGAAGGCTCAGCGGTGCTAAGAGCATCGTAGCTGGTACAGGCTGTGTGGAGAACAACTCCTTTGGTCTGTGACGAGCTGGCTGGTGCTGCTCTGACTGCTTACCCACAACAGAAGCCCCCATCACTTACATCATGTGTTTGTTTTTCTCCCAGCTCGTGTGGGGAGAGGCGGCGGTAGGTGTGACATCGCTCTCTTTTTCACACTTCGATCCCCACGTGTTCGTTGTTGGTGTGGAAGGCGGCTTCTCACTCAAGTGCTCCACTGCAGCAGACACTCCAGCTCCCTGCCGGACAGGAGGTTCTGTTCCCCTCAGAGCACCAGCTGAGCTCGCCTTCTCCCCACACAGCGGGCCGGTGTACTCCGTCAGCTGCTCCCCCTTCCACAGGCAAGAGCTGTACACAAACACCAGTGCTGCACACTGGTTACAAGTTGTTACTTAGTTCTGAATGTACATTTTGCAGACAATACTGGGGTTTTGTGTGTGTACAAGTTCCAAACAAGTCTCACCTAGCGTTGGGAATCTAACTAACTGTTGAAGGAAAACCACTGCCCAGTGGCTGTGGTGAAGCCGCACACTTGCATACACTGCATGTGGTCAGAACACAAGTAAAACAAAATAGCATTTGCACCCAGCCCATGTAGAACGTTAGCACCTTCCTTAGATCATCCTAGAATACTGAAGAGCAATTAGAAGTTGAGGGGAAACAGCTGAAAATAGAGTTATTTACTGAATTAACACTGCCCATCGTGTCTCACTAGCAGCTGCCTGAATTCCACCCTGCCCATGGGAGAGGCCCAGCACCGTCTCTCCACAAAACATGCTGACTGCCCGGGTTTGCATTTACTTTGCATGAGACAAACAGTGCTAACAATGCCTGTCTCCAGATCAGCAGTTCTCAGGCATCTCCGGCCTACAACCCATCATCCTCAGTGGGCAGCGTGAGCCCTCATTAAACTTAATTGAGAGCACTGACAAAGCTGTGTCTCTGCAGACTGCATCCCAGAGTACAGCTTAGAAATTGCTGCTTTAGGAAATAGTCAGATAACTAACAGAACAGGAGCAGCATGCAGGATTGTGCTTCTTGAGGGAGTTTTGTTCTGTATCTTTGACAGTGAAGCCCAAAACGTTGTTTCTTGCAACCCCCTCTACCCAGGAATCTCTTTCTGAGCTGTGGGACTGATGGACAAGTTCACCTGAGCTCCATGTTGCAGACACAACCCCTCATTTCTCTTCAGTTATCTACAAAATATCTCTTCTGTGTTCGCTGGTCTCCCGTCCGACCTCTGGTCTTTGCAGTGGCTTCTGGGGAAGGCAAGTAACTGGAGCTGCCTCTGCTGGCTATTAATTAATACCATTCAGTTCTGATCACCATATCCCATAAGCAGAGAGCGATAACCATTGCTTGTGCAGAGCAATGAGTACAACAGAATCATTTTGAACTCAAGCAAGATAATATCAGTAGTTATTTTCATCCTACCTTTAAAGCTGTGGCTCCAGCAGTTCACAGGGATATAACACAGCAGTAACTGAGGCTGAAACTTACCTCCAGCTTCCTTGCCTTTGACATTTACTTCTAGAGCTAAGAGTAAACACCAACTTAGAAAATTTCCCAAATACGTTTAGTGAGGAGAATGGAGATTGCACAGAATCCTGCGAGTTGCCTTCAGGTGACAGCAGAATAAATGTGGGCTGTCTTACAGTGATGTCACCTGTCAAAGTCTAGACTCCATCTGAATGAAGAGCATCTGTGAAGTGCCAGACTGAGTAGGTAACATTCTGCATGTAAGGTCTGTTACTGTACAGCTGTAAGGAGTGTTTCTGTTTTATAGGAGATGTGCACCTGTTTGACTTTGAGAAGAGCTCCCAGAAGCCAGCTGTTTCCATGAAGCAGGCCGTGGATGAGTGCCCCGTGTACTGTTTAGAATTTAATACCAAGCAAACTCAGCTCCTGGCAGCAGGGGATGCTGCTGGAACAGTCAAAGTCTGGCAGCTGAGTTCTGACTTCACCGAACAGCGGCCCAGGGAAATGAATCACCTGGAGCAGCTGGCAAGTGAGCTCACAGACTGAGACAGCAGCACAGCAGCTGTGGGGAGCTCCTCACTGCTGACTCTGGGAAAAGCTGCCCATTCAACCCACAAAGCACCTAACTGTGACTACAGCTGGAGTTTCATCCATATGACAGAGCTGCATTTAACCATTAAACACGAGATGATGTGGTTCGACCAGTAACTTTTATTGAAGCACACTGCAATATGTTTGTCTTCCCTAAGAGTTTTAAGCTAAGCAGTTTAAGGTTACATCATAAAGTAACATTGATTATTGTAGAGCACAAAGAGAGACACATGCAGAGCTTATAGTCAGCAAACGTGAGCATGTTCTTTGTATCTTTTGGTACTAGTGTTTTGTATCAATTCACAAAGAGTGAACGTGTGAATTCTATGTAGTCATAGGCAGAAGGAAGTTCTCTGCCCTTGCCATCCATGTAGGGCTTCATGTGAGAAATGCAGTAGTCGGCTTGTTCCCGGGTCAGGTTCTGAAAGATAAAAACAGCAAAGGTGGAGATGGATGCTCTGGGGCTGCAGGTGGGGCTCTGAGCAGCAGCACTGCACCTCCCCAGGGGCACAGCTGGGAGCAGAAGCACCAGAACTGCGCCCGGCGTGGAAAGGAGCTGTTAGTTTGCACTTTGGTTCAAGGCTGGGAGGTCTGACCTGCACCTTCCCACCATGGAGAAGACAGAACAGGTAACAAATAAGAGGAAGAAGAGCAGCCTCTTTATTTTTTTGCCAATTGATTCAGACAGGAAAAACTTGCTGTCTTGGCAGGGCAGTGGGAGGGAGGTCGTGTTCTCGGTGTTTAAGCACAGACTCAAGTTTCTCCTTCAAATCACTGCTTGGAGAAACACCTCCCTCCAGTCTCCCACATGATTATAGGAACGCATGAGTTTCTGAGGAGAGAGACAGTGAATGCAGCCCTTCCTGGGCCTTGGAGCAGCTCTTGCTTTACTTGAGTAAATGCTTTGGCAGTTAAGTTAATCCTCCTCTTTAGGGCCAAGAAAGCAGATGGGCAGAGCTGTAACTACAATTTCTTTATTTGCTGCAGGGGTTACCTCTGCAGGTTCAGAACTGGCTTAACAACAGCAACATGAACTTCCAAATCATTAGTGCTACTTTTGTTAACAACCTATGAAGAAAACACCTCCCTCTGTTCCCTTCTAGAGGGCCACAAATGGCACTTACCTGGTAGAGCTCCTCCTTGGTCACATAAGGCTTCCCCTCTGAGCTGAGGGCACGGAAAGCACTCTCAATCTCCTCGCTGGATTTCACGTTCTCTGTTTCCCTGCTGATCATGAACGCCATGTACTCCTGCAGTGAGACGTGGCCATCCCTGCCAATGAAACAGCCAGCATGTGAGCACTGCTATCCCTTCGTACCACAGTGCACTTCTTCCTGAGAGAAGGGCTCTGACTGCTCTGGGAGCAGTAAAAACCTCAACGCAGGGAGGCTGCATCAACACCAGATCACTGTCCAAGTGGAATATCTTCTTGATAAATCTCATTCTTGCCTTTGTGAGAATTTTTTTGCACATGAATTACTGTGAAAACAGCCCTAGGGAAAGCAAAGCTCTCAGCCTCTAAGAGGCTTTCCAGCTAACCCCCCCAAAAAGGTACTGATAAAATACTTGGCTATAGAAAAGCAGAAGGTCTGATGTACGTACCTGTTGGGATCAACAGTGTCAAGAATAGACTCAAATTCGGGGTCAGGCTCTCCTTCCTCAACCATGGGCAGGTCATAGCCAAGGGAGCGCAAGCAAGACTTAAACTCCTGGTGATTAAGACGTCCGGATTTGTCCTTGTCAAAGTGCCTAAAAAACACAAAACCAAAACCCATGTTACTAAGTGTTTAGATGCTGAGTATCATTTAAAGTTACACAGTGGGCTGAAAATGAGAACCTTACAGCCAGTCCACTGTTCTGGAGAAGCGAGCTTGAATTAACAGACATTTCCTACCTAACAGTGTAAACATAAATTCTTTACTTTGCTTAAAAAACACCAAAGAAGGGCTGTATTCCCAGCTGGAATTCACTCTTGGTTCTACACAACCATGCCCACAAGTGAGCATGCCTAGGAAAAGCTCTCATGGCTGTTGTGCACCCAGCCAGCAGTGGGTGTGTCTGGAGGCTCTGCCATCTGGCAGAGATCAGAGCAGCTCAATACAAAACCGGGCAGGCAATAAAGGAGCTACAAACAGAACAGCCAGAGAATCCTGTGAACAGGAGCCATCCACGTGCCAGAAATATCTCCCGAGTATTCCACTGGCATTCTTTCCCTGCAACTCACTTGAACATCATGCTGAACTCCTTCAGGGCCTCCTCTGTAACTCCAGTTGTGTTTCTGAAAGGGAAGAAGCAAAGTTATTGAACAGTTCCTAAACTGCAGAACTCTGATGGAATCCATCTGCCCCAAACCAGCACCCAAACCAGCAGTCTGCAACAGCTGAGGACGAATGAGCAGACAATACATCACATCATCACAGCTCAAAGGAACAAATCAGCTCCCCCAAAACATCACTGCTAATGGCCAATAGGAACTATTCCAAACCATGCTAACTTCATCCCCCTGGAGAGAGTTGAGAAATGTTGGGGGTTAAGGAGCTCTACACTGCAGAACACAGGAGAGACTCATCAGCATCACTGACTGCACAAGGTTTGCCTTCAGACAGACAGCAGTGTGTTATTGTTCACCTCCCCCCAGGCCAGGCACAGCACACACTGCATGGAGGGCAGGCAGTACCGAGCTTGAATCTGCTGTTCCAGATTGTGCTGCATTCTCATTCCCAGCTGGTCAAGCTGGTCCCACTGCTGTGCCAGCCCCACGGTGCTGTGCTCTGTGTATTTGTTGTCCAAGATAAGTGCCTCTTCCATGGCTGCTCCGAGGTCCTCAATCTTCTTCAGCTGGCTCCTCATAGCCCGGATCTCCTGGTGTTTGCGCTGGTAGGAGTGAGAGAGGAGGAGAAAATCAAGGAGTGCAAAAATCAAAACAACAACAAGCAGCCTTAAAATGAACATTCATTTAGGAGGAAAAAGGAAAACTGCACTGGAGTGTTGTTTAATGTCTTGGGATATAAGCAGACATCAGATAAAGGTTTCTTCAGTATTCAAAATGTGTAAAAATCAATTAAGATTTTACCATATAATTGCATGCAGTTTCATTCCCACCCCATGTTTCTGAGTTATCACTTGGGGAAGGTGCTTTACAGACAGGTGAGCATTGCTTACTTTGGTAGCTTCCAGCTGGGATTCCAGTGTTCCCGACTCCTCCACCATACAGGACCTAGGTACAGAATTACAGTGAGACCCCAGACTTCTCCCATAAAAAAATGGCAGGTGGGGCTTGAAATTAACAGTCCTTCCTTACAAAGCCTTACAGCAGTATTGTTCTGCAAATATTTCAATGCTGGGTTAGTGTTTCATTTATTCTGACTCACTATTTCAGGCAGACACATTACATCTTGTTTAATTCTCATTTCTTTATACAGTTAATTTCTAGCCCCATTTGAAAGGCAACACGATCAGCAGTCACACTTCATGCCAAATCCACAGCACCCGCTTTGCTGGGCCTCATGAAATTAGAAACTTGGTGCAGTCCCACCCCGCTCCGCCGTGCCCAGCACACACACACACCAACCATGAGGGATTCACTGAGATGGGCTGCATTGGAACTCTATAGAGGTGTGTTATTGGGGATAAAACAGGGAGAAGAGACCTCCTGAGAACTGCTGGTTTGGTTGGAAAGTAATCTTAGCACAGCACAATCACTGCAGAAAACCCTGGAGCTCCCCTATGTAGGCTGATGGAGAGGTGCCTTCCTGCCCCCCAACCCTCCCAGCACCCAGAGGAACTGAGGCAGTGCTGCTCCATTCAGCGCCAGTTCCATGCAGCCCCCCCTCACACACCAGGATCCCCATTGCAGGGATGTCTCCACCATCACCTTGTAGGGACCAGCTAAGGAATGTCTCTGGTTGCTGCCCTCCTCCCCCCCAGGAACCTAAGCAGCCCTCAAGCTGCAGCATTCAGGGACCTCCATCCTCCCACTGATGGTGAGAGCTCACGCTGACCGACCTGTGTGTGGACAGCCCACCTGGGTGTGCCATGCTTCTACTGGTATTGAGGGTCCTGTCAGTAACTGCAGCTTTTCAGCCCCTCTAAAGTCTACCCTACATACTTTTGAGGAGGGGATTGCAAGTGCTGGATTGCTCTGTAGCCACGGAAACACCCCGAACATGTGGGTGTTTCCCACCAACAGGGTTAAAGCCAGACTCAGTGCACATCCAGAGCCCTGAGCAGGAAGCTGGGAGCCAACCACGGGAGGGACACCCTGCAGGGAACACACCTCCAAGCATCTCTAAGCTGTGACAGTTAGTTGGAAGGAAAGCGAGCCTTGGAATTAAAGAGTGCATTTGAAAACCAAAGTGAGATAAGAAAATAAAGAGGAAAAAAAACCTTCCAGATAGATCATCCCCAACTTCATACTGATAGACACGAATGACACGACGATAGGCTATGCTAATCGAAGAAAAGAAACCAGGTAAATTCCAAAAAGGAAGAAGAAAGAACAGTGGACAGAACACACCCAAACACGGCCACTGCAGCATCACCACCTTGCAGCAAACAGAAGCCATTACTTATGAAATAAACAAATCCAGAAGCTGGTTGCACACACAGGAAACTAACTGGTTATTTTTGTGTAAATCACACAAAAAGGATAAAAAAAATGCATTTTGCAGTTAGCTCATCTACAGGTTCTACAAAGGCGTTCTTTCCAACTGCACACTCCTTTGCTCCCCTCTCCCACACAGCACACAGCCATCACCACACCAACTCGCTGCCTGCAGGACCCCTCTGCTGCCCTGGAAGCTCTCTGGAGCTCTGCTTTCCCTCTTGCCAAGGCAGGCCAAGCACAGCCGAGGGCTCTCTGACTCAGTCTGTGTTTGTAACCCATTCACACAGAATTAAGGACCGACTCTGCCTTGCGTATCAGCAGCCTTCTGGTAATTTGTTCAACAAAAGCTCTTGGCATGGTGATCTCCAGCCCTGCCCGGGTGGCTTTTAGTAAATGGCCCCTTTCTGTCAGCTCATTCTTGGATACAAGAACTCATCTACACACCAATTTACAAAGGAGCAGAAAATTCAGCATCCGTTCCAGGAAAATCTGCTCGGTTCCATT